TGAGGTTACTGAAGATGTGTGATAAGAGTAGAAGCGACTCTACACGGGAGACTCACGTCTTGATGTCCTCCAAGTTAGCCTTGAGAGGTCCAACGTTGGTGGTATCGTACTCGCCGGAGGCAGCCTTCATGGCGTCAAACTTCTTGAGCTGAGGCTTCGTCTGCTTCAGCTCGGAAATTTGCTTCATCCTGATGATCATGAAGTTGTGAGATCAGTTCAATCCAAAGAGAAGTCGAACTTACAGTTCCTTCTCCTTCTTGAGGTCCAAGGATTCAGTATGCATCCTGTACTCGATCTCAGCGATCTTGTCATCGATTTGGTCCTCAGTAGAGAAGCCCAACTTCTTCTGCATGCTACTCAATTCAGCACGCAGTTGACGTCCCTAACAAGAGTGTAATGATGAGCGAACGCAGAGTAGCGACGAGTCGTGGTTACCTCAGTCTGTTTGGAATGGATACCATCCTGAGTCTTGCTCCTCTTAGTCTCCAAGTCGGACACGAGCTTCTGCTGCTCGTCCATCTGCTGTTTCAGCAGATCGCGCTTGCGGAGAAACTCATCTTTACCCTCGGACTTGCCGTGGATCTTCTCGTTGAGATCGTGAACCTAAACCGCCATAACAAACCGCCACATACAGTAGTTATGACTTCCTTACCTTAGCTTGAAGGCCCTTGATCTCCTCGCTAAGCTTGTCGATCTTCTTCTCATAGTAAGCACGATCGACTGGCTGTGGCCTGGTATGGGCAGCAGCAGCAGCGTTAGCAGTAGCCTTAGCATCGGAGTGGTTCTCCTTGGAAGCGGCAGCGTCAGTGGTGGCGTTCTTAGCGTTCGACATGTCGGAAGAGTTGCGAGGCGTGTTGAGGGTGGTGGAAGCCGAGCAGCACTAGCTCAAATGAGGAAGAGTACTGATGATGACACAGGGTGTCTGTGGCGTGCGAAAACCACTTTCAGTCCATATCGATCTCGCTATCTCCCCAGATTTCCAACCTCTCCGATGGAAACGCTGAAGCTTACGATTTTCGCCTTTTTGGCTGCGCGGTGGAGCGCACGGCTGTGTCACCGTAGATCCCGGGTTCGATTCCCAGCTGGGACATCTTTGCGCATTTTTTCATCTTCACCATGTGGATTCTGAGTTCAGCCTTTTTGGTAGTTAGCCATATATTACGCTAATCATGGCAACAGTAGCGATGATAGAAACCAAACCGTCAGACTCGTCATCAAGCGGATACCAATACAATAGGCAACAGTTACTTAGGTAGAACTGCATGGTGACGTTGGTGGCAGGAATCAACCTTGGGTATTTTTAGGATGTACCCCGGTCGTCCCGGACCGGACATCGTCAATCCAATAGGAATAAGAGTCCATCGATTCCCCCCGCCAACAGCGAAGCAACGACCTGGGTCACAGCAGCAGGCTGATGATTTCAACGCTGGAGAACTAGGGGGTAGCCTCACGAGTATTATTTTTGTCTCGTTTACGCATCCCTGGATTCTCATTAGGTCGAGGACCCCATTCAGGAGCTAAAGGAAGAGGAAAAGGTGTTGGTGGTAAGGGAGGAGGCGCTTTGGGGTTTGATACGGCCACTGGGGGGAAGGGCCTCGGCAAGGGCAAGGGAAGAGAACACGAAGGTGGGGTTTGCTCCTGCAATCCCTCAGTATTCTTCTATTCCCCTTCCCTTGGCCTCATCGTAACCACTGAATCGGGTTCCGTTGTAGATACAGCTAGTTCACCCGATCATCATGATGATGGCTGGCAAGTGGTGAAGCCTAAGCAAGGGAATAGGGATTGGGGTGCACTCAGAGGTGGCCGAACTGCAGGAGGTAAGCGACAGCATCAGCGCTATCAGGTGGGAGCGTCAGTCTCATCTGCAGATGAGGAGGATGGCAAACCACTACCGCCATGGCGTAGGGTTGCTGCTCATCATCCAGGGGCCGCTAGAAGGGGAGGTAGTAGGAGTGGCTGAGTCATTGAGGCAGGCATGATGGAGTCGGCAGATACATCCCCGGTGCATTCACATGGCGCGGAGCAACATCATCGTATTGATATCACTGCCGCAGAAGGAGATCACTATCACCATAAACAGCAGGAGCATTCTCCCTCTGGCGTCCCCGCCACTACCCCATTCAAGAAGTAACTGCACATACCATAACATATTATGGTGGTTGTGACTGGTCTACCGTGTAGGACTCTCCATAAGGAGGAAGATAGCCGTCCTAAGGAGTTGATCAAGCCGACGACCGAGGCAACTCCAACAACCCCGGCTCCTGCGGTTGACCCCTTCACAATGGCCTTGTTGAGAGGCGCTTCTCCAGAACCACATACCAACAGAAATCCACCATCTAGCGGTGGCCCATTCGATACCAGGGTAATAGAGTCACTGGGGCATGGCTCAGCGTTATGGGTTGCGTCAGATGCCACAAGCATCAACAACATCAGCAGCTCCTCCTGCCGCTGCTGCCGCCCCTTCTGTTGAGGCTTCTAGTAGTCTCTTCGGTGACACTACTGATAGCCTTTTCGGTCCCCCACTAGAGCACGATGGTGTTGTATCAGCCTTCGCCGAGGTAATACGGAAGTTACTCGCCATACTTAGCTATGACTACATCTCTGTAGGGTCCTGCGCGGTCTGCCTCTTCTGGTAGTCGCTTCGCTCGACTATTTGAGAGCCTCCATGCGGATGACCCCAAGCCTGCTGTCCCTCCACCCACCATCATCGGGCTTCCCATCTACCACTCCATTCTCTACATCAGCCCC